TATATGAGTCCTATGTCTGATCCGGTATGGTCATATTCAAGTCCTCTTCCCATGAGGCTTTAAGTTTAAGTGTGGAGGTTTCTTTCATAGTACACATTTTATTATAAAGCCATGAAACCAGCCCTTTAGAAGTTGGGTTCAATAATAGGATGGTTTCCAAACGTTTATGCTCTGGCAGAGAGGGACAATGTTTCCATTCGCAAAAAAACAACATGGCAGCAAGCTCTTCAAAAATTAACATTCTCAAAAATCGAATCTTCCAGTAATCTACAACCTCAAATTAGTAGGAAAAAAAGAAAAACGAGCTGTCAATAACAAACCAACCACTGCTCCTAGTGGGCATGGAATAGATAAACCCCCTACCTTAATGTGAATATTTATCTTGTACTTTACTGGCCACCAAGCACACCAAGGGAAAATAGTAATGTAGCTAAAAATAGAAAAAATAAAGCTACCACAGGAGATAAAAGGAGGCTCCCGACACTATTGAGACAGAATAAACGGGTGTTAGTAGAGCTGCTCCTCCATTCATAAAGTCCAATACCAACAAAAAGGGTGGACAGAATAGGTCAATTGGTAAGAAAATATGTTGACAGGATGTATTTAGAGTACCTACTGCACCCTGAAGAAAACCAGCCCGCCTGTTTTTATGTAGTAAGCTCTCAGTACAGCGCTGCTCCTTTATTGGTCTTCTGGTGGTTTCGGGAGCCTCTTAATGAACTGCTGAGCCTCCTCCACCGAAACTAGGAACTTTTTGGCACAGCTGGATTGCCTAATACGAAGATGGGCCGGGAAGAGAAGAGCCGGCTTCAACCTCCGCCTGTAGAGTTCCGCCATTGCGTCGGGCCAGGACGTCTGGGCTGTAGCCTTCCACAATACGAACAGACGCACCTTTGTAGTCGAGCGTTCCTCTCCTCCTGGCTTCCCGGATAATGAGGTCCTTGGTCTGGTATCGATGCAGGCGAATATAACCAGGCGAGTTGGACGTCCTGCCAGGGAACGGTGCGCTCTATCGAGCTCCCGTGGGGTCCAGAGCGCCTCTTTCCTGAGTAGTTTGCAGAGAAGGTTGGAAAAGAAATGAGTAGTGTGCCCACTTTCATTGTCTTTGGGGAGACAGAGGATGCGGATGTTCTGTCGTCTACTGCGGCTCTCCAGGTCAGTGACTTTGTCTTTTAACTTGGTGTTGTCTTCACGGAGAGCACCACACGAGTCTTCGAGGTTAGCCACTCGCTGGCTCAGATCCTCTGTAGCGAGTTCTAAGGAGGAGATTCGCTCTGCTTGTTCCTCCAGGGTCTGCCGCATCTGGTCTAGCTTGGAGCTAAGCATGTTAGCAGAAGATTTAAACTCTGATTTCAGATCCTCCCCATGCTGCTGAAGCAGTGCGGTGATAGCCTCCAGCGTTAAGCTAGCATCCTCTTTCCTCCCTCCTTTCGCGCTTTTGCTGGCCATTACTAGTGAATAAGTAAACAAAAGCACTGTTTGAGATGTTTTGGTATCAATGGGTGACATAAAATTATCTTTCCGTGGGGTGAATTTAGTTAAAAGGTTGAAATGTTCTGGAGCAGTCCGTTGCTACGTCTACCCTGTCCGCATGGCAAAGTCCAAAGAAAATCAGCTTTGATTATCCTGGGATCAATCCGTCGCTTCCATTCTCTGTTTGCCTTCCAGGATGGATTACCATCGGCCCAGAAGAAACTGGACGCCGAGGACATCGAGAAGATGAGCGACTCCAACGAGGACATCAAGAACCGGCTGTCGGAGAAGGTCCGAGAGAATGCCACACACCTGCTGCACCCCCACAGGAAGGTTAACGGGCAGCCGGTGCCGGTCCAACAGCCGCTGCTGTTCACTGGCGGAGTCATGAGGCCGTACCAGATCGAAGGCGTCGAGTGGCTGAGGGTGAGCGGCGGCTGGTCTGTTTCTGTCCTGGTTCTGAACATTTTGCATTTAAGATTAAAAAAAAAAAGTTCTGTCAACTTGCTCCATCTAGAACTCCTCAGTTTTAGTTTCATCTGCTTTTATTTTGTAAAAATATGTTCCATCACTTTCTGTTTTGCCAGCGTTCCTTGTAAGACCTTAAAGAACAAGGGCTGGAAGTGGTCAGCTTTATAGCCTCAGCAGCAGACCCCGGTCTCTCGCCTCGGGGCGTAACCATGACAGCATGAGAAACTAGGGCAAAACCATTTTGTCAAAAATCAAAATTGTGATAATTTTCAACCAATATTGCAAAAAAATGTTCTTTTTTTTTTTTGAGATTTCCCTTTGCACTAAGCTCGACCATGTAGGTGTTTTACTCCAGGGTTTCAGGTTTTCCATGACCTTGAAAGCCTGCTTGTCCAGAATCCAGAGCTTCAGGACTTTACTGTTGCATCTGCAACTGTCTATTACCACCATCACCTGTGGGGCGACAGTGGCGTTGGATGTAGTTTGCCCTGAAATCGAAGGGTTGATGGTCCAAGGCAGCTGTGGCCACAGTGTAGCTCACCACCATCATTGTGTGAATGGGTGAATGTAGTGTAAAGCGCTTTGGTCAGTGCCTCTGATTTGGAGAAAGGGCTGTATAAGTAGAGGCCATTTGCCTAAAGGTAAAGACGTAACTTTCTGTAGGACTGGTGGGGACATGTCTCCACCAATAATTTCCACTCTAAGTTACACCCTTACCTAAATGGTAAATGACCATATTTCAAATCTGTGATTTGAAAACGGCATTTTTCTAAATTGTGATTATATTACAAAAACAATTTCACAACCCTACGAGAAATGGACCCATGAAGTCTGGACCTGATGTTTTTTAACATGAATTAGGCTGAAGCAAAGGGGATCTCCATTTTAATCTAATAGATGCGAGCAAACAAGACAGGCAGCATTTGGTGCAACTAATGAGGTTTACAGGTTTGGATCTGATCGGATCCAACGATCCCCTTCTACTGCAAAGGGCAGAACCAAGCAGGTCATCCGATTTATTAAGGAGCTCTATGTTGCTCCTGAACTGTGATTTGGGAGATTGGACTAATTGCACTGGTGCTGCTGTGCTGCAGATGCTGTGGGAGAACGGCATCAACGGGATACTGGCTGACGAGATGGGGCTGGGGAAGACCATCCAGTGCATCGCCCACATCGCCATGATGCTGGAGAAGAAGGTGATGGGCCCCTTCCTGGTGGTGGCCCCTCTGTCCACGGTGCCAAACTGGATCAGCGAGTTCAAGCGTTTCACGCCAGAGGTAAGGTGGCGCAGGAGGAGAGCCCTTCTGGAACCTTTGTGACCTCTGACCTCTTTGTCCTTCTTCGCCCAGGTCTCTGTGATGCTTTATCACGGCACCCCCCCAGAGAGGGCCAAGCTGCTGAAGCAGATCCGCACGTCTCAGGGGCCCCTCAACATGTTCCCTGTAGTCATCACATCCTTTGAGATCTCCATGATTGACAGAACCTTTCTACAGGTGAGAGTTTGATGTTTGGACCTCCTTCCATCCTGGTTCTGACCTCCTAACCGCTGGTTCTGCCTCTAGAAATGCAACTGGAAGTACCTGATTGTGGACGAGGGCCACAGGATCAAAAACCTAAACTGTCGGTTAGTGCGGGAGCTGAAGAGACTTCCCACGGACAACAAGCTGCTGCTGACGGGCACGCCGCTGCAGAACAACCTGGCCGAGCTCTGGTCCCTCCTCAACTTCCTGCTCCCAGAGGTCTTTGATGACCTGAAGAGGTGAAGATGCTGCTGTAGTCCCGGTGTGGCTGGAGAGTCTGGCTCTATGTGAACATACCGTTTCTCTGTTCACTTTCAGCTTCGAGTCCTGGTTCGACATCAGCTCCCTCGGTGACGTTGATGACGTGCTGGTGGCGGAGCGCGAGCAGAACATCCTGAGCATGCTGCACCAGGTCAGTCCTCAGCAGCTCCACTTGGAGACAATCTCCTGGCTCCGAGCTTCATGTCCACTGTGCGTCTGTCCTTCAGATTCTGACGCCGTTCCTGCTCAGGAGACTGAAGTCTGATGTGACACTGGAGGTTCCCCCGAAGAAAGAGATCATTGTCTACGCCCCCCTGACCACCAAGCAGGAGAGCCTTTACAGCGCTGTGGTCAACAACACCATCTCCAAGCTGCTTGGCCAGGAGAAGGTGAGGGGTTACCACGGTCTGGCAGAACCTCCGACTGTACGCCTCAGAACTGGTGATCAGCAGGTGCCTGTGCTCCCTATCAGAAGGAGGCTCCTGTGGCGGTGACATCAGGCGGCAGACCGAAGCGCCGCACCCGGAGGTTGGTGGACTACAGAGAGACGGAGAGCGATACGGCGGCGGCGCTGGAGGGGTACCTGGAGAGAGTCCGCCGGGAGGCCGAGGTCAGGTCAGTAGCATCCTACACCCGGCACCAGAGGGCGGTTCTGGTGTCAATCCAGACTCCCTCCTGAGGAGGCGCTCTCCTTCTGGTCGGGTTAAATTTTGGAACAGAACCCAGATTGCTGGATGTGCAGCAGTGATCAGGACTGCGTACCGGTGGCTGGAAGGGTTTGTTCATGTTCACTGCTGCATCCTGGAGCTGAGGAGAAACCTAGATGTTTTCTGCTCCACTCCTCTGGAAAACATTCTTGTTCCGCCTGCTCTAAGAGCCCAGAAGGTTGTGATTGGAGTACCTCGAAGGTCGGCTTAAACCCAGATAACAGCCCGACCGACCAGGTTCCTCCCCTTTAGTATCATTTATAGAAGCAAAGAAAGTCCTCCCCTAGATGTTTTTTTTTTTTTTTTTTCACGGTTTCTGAGGTGAAAGAACTAGACCCCTCTGGTTCCGAGTCTGACACTCTCCTTTTCCACTCAGCCCCCTCCCCCCGGTGCTGGACGTCCAGGCCCCAGCGAACGCTGAGATCAACCTGAAGCTGACAAACATCCTGATGCTGCTGAAGAGATGCTGCAATCACCCGTACCTGGTGGAGTACCCGCTGGACGCTCTGCAGCAGTTCAAGGTAAGCTCAGTGTGGCACCGTTCTACCCGACGAGGTGGAGAACCGTCCGCTGACAAGTCTCTTCTTCCTGCAGATCGATGAACAGCTGGTTCAGACCTCAGGGAAGCTCCTCATCCTGGACCGGCTGCTGCCTGCCCTTAAGGAGCGAGGACACAAGGTAAGGCCGCCATTATTGTTCTGGCCGGTAAGAACCAGTCCGTCTGGATCCCTGAGCTGGGCCCTTAGCCCACATGTTGGTTTTCAAGTGAGAAATCTTAAAGAAATGGAATAAAAGTAAAATTCGACCTGTTATCAGTTTTTCATTTTAAAAGGGAAAGTCCAGTTAGCAAAGAATAATCATTGGATTATTATTTATACATAAAACTAATAAGTTTGTGGTGATTTAATGAATTTACCATTAATCAGTAAAAAACTGTGATCACAGAGTCTGCAAGCGGCCATTTTTGCCCAAATACAGTAACACCTCCCTCCTGCCATCTTCCAGCAGTGACGTCACGGTGCGTTAAGCCTAGCGCCATTCTCCCCGCTTTACACCGAAATCAATAGGTACTAATAGACACATCTGCAATCAACAACAATTATTGAAGATTTCCAGAGGACTTCACCATTGAAATTCACCAGAGCTGTAGTTAAACTGACCCACGTGCAATAGCCTAGTAAACTAGTCCCACCCCCCAGTGGCTAAAATAAGAGAGGTTGGCTTAGCCTCAATCAATGCCCCAGGCCCTAGAACTGGAGGCCCAATCACAACGCAGAGATGTGTTTTGAATTTTTGGATGCAAAGCGGGTGGGTTTTAGGGGGGTGACTTAGACTTGGGGTTTGCATTGAAACGTGAACAGGAAGAGGCTCTACACTCATTCATTTTTAAGAAGAACGTAGTAGTCGTTTTACAGGCTATGGCAAAAGTCTGATCTATCAACTAGCTCCACTGGTAGTCAAAAGGATGGGGCTCTGTAAAAACCCTATTGCAGTAATTGTCTTGCCCTTGTTAGCCCTAATGGAACACCAGGTGATGGAGGCAAGCAATTTCGGACTCACTGCCATGCAACTGGGCGTCAGTTGATTTGAACTTCGGAAAAGTTGTGTACAGTGGTGTAGTACACCGGCTACTCGCATGTCTTTTTTTGCACAAACAATAACAATAGTCCAACTCCATGATCTCAACAAGTTATCCACTGCTCACATCGCATGCTTTTTTACAGTTGCTTTCTGCTTTCTCCTCCAAAGACACGGTCTACCTAGACTGGATCCTTCGAGTCCGTGAAAATAAGGAGACCGGAAGTGTTTTGGCTATGAATTCAAACAGGTCTATGCTTTTGCGGGTTTTACCGCCGTATGCTCTGTTGCTTAGCAACCGTGACTGTTGACACACAAAGCAGGAAAAGAATGAAAACAAGAGTTTTCAAAACTTTCTTATAATAAAGTGAACAAAGAGTACACTCACAAGAATACTGAGTGGAATAAAGGTGACAACCATTGGGAGCAGGAACAAATAGCAGGATGTAATTTTACTGACTAAGGTTTCTATCATTACATTTACTTTTGTCATTTTAGACATCTCTGATGTTGCTTCTATTTTCAAATGTCCATTACTGTAAAAATGGCCATAGCTGTATATTGGTTATTTATTCTCCAGTTTTATATTGTTAAACTTTAAAATATTTTATTGTTCATTTTTTAACTCTTCCCTATTATGTTATTCTTAGACATTTTTCTAAGCTCCACATTTGTGTGACCATTTCAATAATCTTTCTGCTGCTGTAAATTTGCGCATTGTGGGACAATAAAGGGATTTTCTATTCTATAAAAGGGGTAGAAAGATATAAGTAAATCTAAACAATGTATGTACAAAATATATCTCTTAATATTCAACAACAAAAGATACTTAAGCATATTTTGCAAAACACCAATAAAAAAATAAAAATTCTATCAGATTTATAGTCCTCACACTGCAGATATATCAGAATCTGACCTTAAATTACAGCCAAACACATTTACACAGTAACAGATAAAAACCTTTAGATAAATCTAAATACAGCACTGGGACTTGATCAACAGCCGATACCGCACCATGACGTCACAACGGTTGAAACAGCTGTTTCCCTAAAACTTTAAAAACACTATATTAAACACATTATTAAATAGTATATAATTTCATATTTAAAGTACTTTCAGAAGTTTGAATTTTGAATATGACCGGACTTTTCTTTTAAAAGGAAAAATAAAAACCTATTCTAGACGTCCTTTCCTGATTCAGCTCGCCTCCTCATCAGAGTTTTGTGTGCGACGCCACCACTATGGATGTGTCAAAATATGAAAACATTTTCAAACAATCGAATGTGTATACACCTCCTATAAATCTCTCTCATTATTCATATTACTGCATGTTCCACATTTTGGCAGTAAACCAGCTCTAACCAAAAGGCCAATCTGTGCAACCAGTTATAAATCCAGGTCACCCTCGATTTTAATTTGTAAAAAAAGACCTAAATTATGTTTATTTTCCCTCCTTAAAAGCAGTAAGCACGCGGAACTCTGATGTGTTAAAGGTTAATAATGTATTTCCTGAGAAAAAAATACCTTAAAATCATTGTTTTATCAGTCTGTGCCTGATCTGTACCAGAAGTGGGATCCTATGCTACTTCTGGGAGCTAACTGTTTCGGCTTTGGATCTAAACATAATTGAATTTTATGTTTTTTCATTTTGTTTTAACCCTATGGTATATAGTGCGTAATCTAAAGAAAGATACATCTAAAATCCAGATAATCAAGGTTAATCATATTTAGCTAGACTGCTCTAAACATGTCCCATGATGACGTGAGAGAAGCAGTTTAACAGAGAAAATGTTAAAAGCATCAAATTATCGCAGAAAAGTCATACTTTAGCATTCTTTAGTAATTTAAGGATCGAAATAAGTAATGTTAGTACCGTATTCTGGGGAAGATTCTCATGCTGAGTACACACCGGACGCAGCAGGTGCAGCAAAATCGCGTATGCTGCTTCATTTTTGCTGCTTGTACCAGCTTAGTTCTGACGCGCGGCTGAAGCAGCTTTGCTGAAGTTGGGAGGACAGCGGCAGCCAGCGGAGCTCCGAGGCTAATGGCAGCCAGGGCTAACGTTAGCCCGTCTGCGGCAGCCAGGGCTATCGTTAGCCCGTCTGCGGCAGCCAGGGCTATCGTTAGCCCGTCTGCGGCAGCCAGGGCTATCGTTAGCCCGTCTG